CATTGTGATTTAGTACACTCTCTTGAACTATGTAAATATTTCTTTATAAAATGCAACTGCTTTGTCACTTCTGCCTTGTTAAGATTATGAGCAATGTCACGTACGTACAATTTTATTATTATAATATGATCGAATGAAATATGTGTATGACTATCCTAAATTCTAGAGAACTAGTTTAGGTCATATACCTTCGTATAGTCCAAGAACCATTCTTCTAATTTAGCTTGTATATGAGATCTTGTTACAACATTCTCCTTTTTACTTTTTCATGTAACAGTGTTACTTTTTATAAATGTGAAGTATTTAAAGGTTAATTTTATATTATCAAGAGCACCTATTTAATCTATATCAATATATATCATCGCATTTTTGGAATTGGAGTTTATCTTGAAGAAAACTCTTTTATAAAAACATCTTTTATGTATTTAAAATTAACCACACCAATAGCATATACAACTATATTTGGTTGGTGTGCGAGAGATACATTAATTTTAGACTTAGGAAAAATATATCAAGGTCTCGTAAAAAATTACATTTATAGTAATAAACATGTGTTTAGTTTATATATTATAGCACTTATATCTGTTTTGGTGATCAACGTAGTAAGGAAACACTCATATTTTAGTTTTAGGACACAACTTATTTCTTTGATGTTTGTGTAAGTGAACATACACACAATCAAAAACTTTGCTTGTTAGTTTACCAATTTTAGGACTTACCACTGCATCATTGAGTGATTTAAGAGGTGTTTTATACTTAAGAGACCTAAACAGTGTTCGCTTGATAAAGTATAATATTTATGTGAGAGCTTCTCCCTAATATATTGTTGGCATGTCACTCTAATTAGTCTAACTTAGATTACCTTTAATAAATGTCAGTTCTTTTGTTTTGTCTAGAGATAAAAAAATATTTGTGCACGTATATTATCTTTAATTTATATTTTATTAAGTTAAATTTAATTAAAATTAAAATTAACTTATATTTTATTATATTTGATTTAATTAAAATTAAAATTTAATTTATATTTTATATTTATTTTGTAATTTTATTTTAAAAATTTATAAAATATCTTTTTTAAAGATTTTAAAATATTTGTGGATATTTTTTAAATGTGTATTGAGTCCGTAACAAGTGAATTTTTTTGTTACAAATCGAATAGCATGTAGATAACCTAATTTATTATCATCTCTAGTTTTTTCACCCATTCTGTTGTGGAGTATTTGGACAAGATTTTTGATGAAAATTTTCTTATATAGTAAAAGGGATTGAAATTTTGATTACAGATATTCTCCTTTTAGGTTTGAAGCATTTTTCAAATATTTTGAAATAGTATTTTATTTTCACTTTTCAACTTCATCAAAGGTACCAAGTCATTCAAGTATAGTTAATAATAAATGTTATAGACTATATTAATCACCTAATATTTTAAACTTAAATGGTCTCCATACATTAAAGTGATAAAGAACTTTTATTTTAAATTAAAAGAAAATAAGGTATTTGACTCTCAAATATCACAATTTAAATTTGAAGTATCAATTTGATTAAATACATTTAAAAATAATTTCTTTATGTAATTAAAAACATATAAACCTTTATATTTTTTATGCCATAACCAAATATCTTATCTTTTTCTCACTTATTAAGATCCTTTTTTGTTGTTAACGCTTGATCAATTTTCTTTGAATATTTTTTAATCAATATTCACAATCCAAACATCTTTCTTGTTTGAATGTCGTTAAAAACATAATAGTCACAGCCAAAAAATTACAACACATAAGATAATTTTGGTTATTTGAGAAACTAGCAATAAGTAATACTTTAGAAAAATTACAACAAGGATATTGTCAAGATTTAGATTGTTTGAAATAGAGACAGTTCATTCTCCAATGTAGTGGATTTACTACGATTAGTGCGAAACTGTTTTTTGTGAGGAATATTTAGGATTTTAATTTATCTAACAACAAAATTCACATTATCAAAACACACCGAGGCAATTGTCCATACATTATTCAAAACAATGAACGTGCTTATTAAAGCCTTACCTTTTGAATCATCACTACCTAGACTTATACCAAATATCATGCTTTTATATCGTCTTACTCATTTTGTAATTATTGGAATAGATGAATTTTTTTTAATTCTTTTTTGATGCCAAACCACTAAGGGTATCCTATGATTTCATAACATCATCCATTGATGTGCCCATCCATATTATTAGCTTCTTGTCATAATAGATGTGGAATCACAAATCATATTTTCTATTTTCGAAGTTGTTGGCGAGACTATCTCTTTCTATATCAAAGCATACCATTATTCTAAATAAGGTGTCACATTGTTTCTCAAGATTTTTCCACGAAGTTGCTCAAAATCCAATCTAGTCAAAAAAATATTTGCAGCCTTAATATTTCAAATGGCTTTTGACATTTGAATAAAAATCTTTCAAAATAAAGATCTTTCATGGTGATGATAAAAATCTCAATCGACTTTTGTTGATAGGGGAGCAATATGAGTGTTGAACCCACTTTCTGATGTGTTTGTTTTTTATGATGACAACACATTGACGGTAACAACACAGATGTTGTCATGCCACTACAGAAATATGTTCTCTGTGATGAAATACATATGTGAATATGAAAATGCTTATTGCTGACAAATGCATATGTTGAAATATTGTTGGTTTTGCATACTACTGCTTATGATGTGTTCATATCTTTGTATGCATACTGTATGTTATGTATAATGAAAACCACAAGCGCAAAAGCATATCTGCATGACATAATCGATTACAGTTTTGTTGTAATCAGTTAAGGCCATCAGACAACTTATGTTTTGCACTGTGGCAAAACAACAAGTTATGAATCAATTACATTAGTCATTAAATCGATTAAAACTCGTATATTTGCAAATATCGTTTTCAAATGTGCTGTGATGAGTTTTTGAAGAGAAAAAGTTTTCAAATTCTGTTTAAGTGTTAAGCTAAATCGATTACACATTTTATGTAATCAATTAAGTCTCTTATCTTGTGAAAACTGTTTTCAACTTAGTCATAACTGCTATAACGGTCATATTTTTAAATATTTTTGACTAGCATTAAATGCAAATCAATTACATTAATTGTGCACTTGGGTTTTATGTAACCGATTACATTACTAACATAATCAATTACTTTGCATCTGATATGATGAAAATTATAAATTGACGCATTGCTTGTAAATGAAAAAAGACTTTTGATCAATTTTACACTTTGATATCTGATAGTTTTGATATGAGAAAGATTTACAGATTACATAAACGCTCCAAGAATCAAGAAGCGAAGATCTTGAAGAAACTTGAAGGATTCTTGAGAGTAAATTTGAGAGCTTGACTAGTTGATCTTATTCACACTACTGAGATGTATTTGCTGTGATCAGAAAAGGTTTTTGCACTTGTTGATTGTGTTGTGTCCCTGGTCGTGTGCGACAGGAAGAAGAGTGAGAAGCTCTTGGACTTTGAGTGCGGTATCTCAAAGGGTTTCTGCAGTAAGAACGTGTGATTTTGTGTGCGCAGGTGTTTTCGTTTCTATATTTCATTGTGAGTGGGAAAAATGTTTACATTGTGAGAGTGTGTTCACTGTAAAACCTTTGGTGTAATTCTCAAATCATTATACTGAAATATCCTTCAATCTATGGTTGATTGGAAGGGTGACTGGATGTAGACATTAAGACCAAACCAGGATAAAAACCTTGTGTTTGTTCTTCTTTCCCTATCTCTTTTACTTTAAATCTGTATATGCGTTTACTTACATCACAAGAAAGTTTAAAGATCATTCTAACTTTGCAAAAAGATTTGAAAAACATTCATTTTTATATATCACCAATTCACCCCAACTCTTGGTGTTGAGAAACAAGGCTCTTCATTTCTAACAATTAGCACCAGAACTGATTTTCAAAAGTTATTTGAAAAACAAATCGATTACCCTTTTTGTGAAATCGATTATTTGATCCCGTAATGACTTTTTTTTCTCAAACCTTTGGTGAAGGTGCATCTACAAACAAACCACATCTGTTTGCTAGTGAAAACTACCTTTTAGAAAATTAGAATGAGGATCTTTCTTATGCTCGTTTGCTCTTATGTTAATTTGTTGACAACAAGTCTTTCTAGATAAATATTCTTTAGTATTATGATTTGTTGGATCTTTGAGTAATACATGTACTATTTATATGCCCTTTATCTTGTCCTTGAACCACATACATTTAATACATCTATTATCAAAATACAATTAATACAACTATCCAACTATAACAAAGTATGATCTAGTCTTAAACGCATTTAACTATTATCAAAATACAATTTAATAAACTCCATAATTATTACTAAACATCAATCTTATATTTTGCATTTTCCAAACTAACCTAGTTTAAGTTTACCTAAAGATCATGAACACCGAAGATTATTTTCAAAACTCACAATATTACACGAAAAAGAAAGCACTAACTTTTATAATCTTAAACCGAGCCACGTTTTCTTACTTGGCTTACATATATTTGTCTCTGTCATAACAGTCACCTAGCTAATTTACCATAAATTCAGTACATTCAGTACACATAGGTTCTCAAAGTAATCAGAATACAAAAAATAAAGATGTTAGAGAAAGGGACAAACAAACATATCTCTATCAATATCAATACCAATTAATGTGGATTTGCATTGGGTTTGGTACGAAACTTTAAGCGGTCAACGAATTAGGTGAAACCTAAGCTAAGTATGACAAAAAATAGTGAAATGAAAGCTGGCACACAGAGTAATACCATTCAAAAGACTAGAATTAAACCAAAGAGGTCTCACATGTATCATTTATCAACGTGATAGATCTTTTGGCAAAAATTATCCTAACCAGATATAAATGGAATATATGCAACTATTGATCAAAATCATAGGTACTAAGTTTATTAATAAATTAAAATGGTAGCTGCTATGTCAAATACGATGTTCCTTACAAAAATAGACATGGAAATAAAGTTTGTGATATAAAAGGGCCTAACCTAACATGAAAAATGGAATGAAAGAAGAAGAAGAAGAAGAAAATGAGTGGGGAGATGAAGTTTGAGGAGGAGCAGAGAAGATACATAAAACCCTCCATAGCCACACCACCACACCTTCAAACCTTCAAACTCTCTTTACTTGACCAGCTTTTCCCAAACATCCATGGCAACATCACCTTCTTTTACCCTCACACCACCACCCACACACTTCCACACTTCTCCACCAAATCCCAACTCCTTCAAACCTCACTCTCCCAAACCTTGACCCGCTTCTATCCTCTCGCCGGAAACCTCCATGACGCCACCACCCTCCACTGCAACGACGCCGGTGCCCTCTTCATCCAATCCCAGACCAATGTCTCTCTCTCCGACATCCTCAAAGCTCCGAGCTTTAACACCCTCCAATGTCTCATCCCCTCCACCGATAACCAAACCTCAACAAACGCGGCCATGCTCCTCGTACGCTTCACTTCCTTTAGCTGCGGCGGCACCGCCGTAACCATTTCTCTCTCCCACAAAATCGCCGACATTGCAGCCGTCATCGCACTCCTCAAAACCTGGACCGCTGCCTGCGCCGGAGAAACCCCCACGAGGGACCCCGAACTCGCCGCCGGCGCCGCGCTCTTCCCTCCGAGAGAGCTTCCCGCAGTGACGGCATCCGTAAACACCGTGTCGTCGGAGAACTTCACGTCGAGAAGGTTCGTTTTCGAAGCGTCCAAGGTGAAAGCGCTAAAGAAGAGAATAGGAGAAGGTTGCGCGTTCGAACCTTCGAGGGTGGAGGTGGTGTTGGCTCTCATATGGAAATGCGCTCTCTCGGCTTCTCGCCCGGAAACGGCGTCGTTCAAGCATTCGGTTTTGTTCCAAGCGGTGAACCTCCGTCCCCGGATGGAGCCGGCGGTGGCGGACGGAGCCTTGGGGAACTTTGTATGGCCATTCGCGGTGACGGTGGAGGAGGAGGAGCAGTTGGAGTTGCAGTTGATGGTGAAGAGGATGAGGGAGAGTATGAAGGAGTTTGTGGAAAGTAAGGCAAAGAGGTTGAAAGAGGATGGTGGTTTTGGAGTGTTTATGGAGAGTCTGAAGGAGAGAGGTGAAGTTTTGAAGCAGAACAGCGTTGTTTATAAGTGTTCGAGTTGGTGCAAGTTTCCACTGGCTGAGGTTGATTTTGGTTGGGGCGAAGCAGTGTGGGCATGCAGTGTGAATAAGATTGCTAGTAACACCATTGCTTTGATGGATACAAGGGACGGTGGTGTTGAAGCTTTCGTCACTCTCGATCACCAACACATGCTTCTCTTTCAACAACATCACCTTCTTCTACACTACGCTTTGCTTAATCCCTCTGTTATGCTCTGACCTTCTCCATCCATATGTAATATTCTATTTCTCGCTTCAAAATCACAACCTTACATTACCTACAACTTTCGATACTGCATGGCTTTTTGTTTTCAACTAAACCATGAAGATATTTTGTCCCCAAGGATAAGCAACCACTAAAATATTCTCTATTACCGTAAGTTTCACTGCATATTATTAAAATGATTTAGGTAGGAAAACAAAATTTTTCTCACAAGGAAAAAAAATCACTGGATCATGAATTCGTCTCTAGTCTTGTGTGACGTGATGGTCAAAAGGTGGTGTAATTAAGGATGACAACCCACAAAATCATGTGGTTTTCATTTATTTATTTTTAACTTAACGTGGGTTTTATGTTTTTTTATAAAATTCAATTTAATTATGAAACTTTAATTATATTACGGGAAAATTAATTTATATATAATAGTTGGGCTAAAGTGCTTGCAAATTTATACGCATTATCATAGTCATTTTCACAAGAAAAAAACACGTGCATTTATAAGAGAAACAACAACGGTTATTTTTGTCTATAGTCATCAGTTTCTGAACCAAGACATATACGGGTGAGGTAAAAAGGGGTACGATTTTGCTTCGATTCAAACGTAACCGAAGTAGTAGGGTTTTTGCTTTTTTTTTTTTTTTGAATGACCTTTCGCCTCAGTTCCCCTGAACCGAGGCAGTATCTCAGACTCCACTGTCTTGGTTGGGACTTGAACCGAGGCANTTTCGTTTCTATATTTCATTGTGAGTGGGAAAAATGTTTACATTGTGAGAGTGTGTTCACTGTAAAACCTTTGGTGTAATTCTCAAATCATTATACTGAAATATCCTTCAATCTATGGTTGATTGGAAGGGTGACTGGATGTAGACATTAAGACCAAACCAGGATAAAAACCTTGTGTTTGTTCTTCTTTCCCTATCTCTTTTACTTTAAATCTGTATATGCGTTTACTTACATCACAAGAAAGTTTAAAGATCATTCTAACTTTGCAAAAAGATTTGAAAAACATTCATTTTTATATATCACCAATTCACCCCAACTCTTGGTGTTGAGAAACAAGGCTCTTCATTTCTAACAATTAGCACCAGAACTGATTTTCAAAAGTTATTTGAAAAACAAATCGATTACCCTTTTTGTGAAATCGATTATTTGATCCCGTAATGACTTTTTTTTCTCAAACCTTTGGTGAAGGTGCATCTACAAACAAACCACATCTGTTTGCTAGTGAAAACTACCTTTTAGAAAATTAGAATGAGGATCTTTCTTATGCTCGTTTGCTCTTATGTTAATTTGTTGACAACAAGTCTTTCTAGATAAATATTCTTTAGTATTATGATTTGTTGGATCTTTGAGTAATACATGTACTATTTATATGCCCTTTATCTTGTCCTTGAACCACATACATTTAATACATCTATTATCAAAATACAATTAATACAACTATCCAACTATAACAAAGTATGATCTAGTCTTAAACGCATTTAACTATTATCAAAATACAATTTAATAAACTCCATAATTATTACTAAACATCAATCTTATATTTTGCATTTTCCAAACTAACCTAGTTTAAGTTTACCTAAAGATCATGAACACCGAAGATTATTTTCAAAACTCACAATATTACACGAAAAAGAAAGCACTAACTTTTATAATCTTAAACCGAGCCACGTTTTCTTACTTGGCTTACATATATTTGTCTCTGTCATAACAGTCACCTAGCTAATTTACCATAAATTCAGTACATTCAGTACACATAGGTTCTCAAAGTAATCAGAATACAAAAAATAAAGATGTTAGAGAAAGGGACAAACAAACATATCTCTATCAATATCAATACCAATTAATGTGGATTTGCATTGGGTTTGGTACGAAACTTTAAGCGGTCAACGAATTAGGTGAAACCTAAGCTAAGTATGACAAAAAATAGTGAAATGAAAGCTGGCACACAGAGTAATACCATTCAAAAGACTAGAATTAAACCAAAGAGGTCTCACATGTATCATTTATCAACGTGATAGATCTTTTGGCAAAAATTATCCTAACCAGATATAAATGGAATATATGCAACTATTGATCAAAATCATAGGTACTAAGTTTATTAATAAATTAAAATGGTAGCTGCTATGTCAAATACGATGTTCCTTACAAAAATAGACATGGAAATAAAGTTTGTGATATAAAAGGGCCTAACCTAACATGAAAAATGGAATGAAAGAAGAAGAAGAAGAAGAAAATGAGTGGGGAGATGAAGTTTGAGGAGGAGCAGAGAAGATACATAAAACCCTCCATAGCCACACCACCACACCTTCAAACCTTCAAACTCTCTTTACTTGACCAGCTTTTCCCAAACATCCATGGCAACATCACCTTCTTTTACCCTCACACCACCACCCACACACTTCCACACTTCTCCACCAAATCCCAACTCCTTCAAACCTCACTCTCCCAAACCTTGACCCGCTTCTATCCTCTCGCCGGAAACCTCCATGACGCCACCACCCTCCACTGCAACGACGCCGGTGCCCTCTTCATCCAATCCCAGACCAATGTCTCTCTCTCCGACATCCTCAAAGCTCCGAGCTTTAACACCCTCCAATGTCTCATCCCCTCCACCGATAACCAAACCTCAACAAACGCGGCCATGCTCCTCGTACGCTTCACTTCCTTTAGCTGCGGCGGCACCGCCGTAACCATTTCTCTCTCCCACAAAATCGCCGACATTGCAGCCGTCATCGCACTCCTCAAAACCTGGACCGCTGCCTGCGCCGGAGAAACCCCCACGAGGGACCCCGAACTCGCCGCCGGCGCCGCGCTCTTCCCTCCGAGAGAGCTTCCCGCAGTGACGGCATCCGTAAACACCGTGTCGTCGGAGAACTTCACGTCGAGAAGGTTCGTTTTCGAAGCGTCCAAGGTGAAAGCGCTAAAGAAGAGAATAGGAGAAGGTTGCGCGTTCGAACCTTCGAGGGTGGAGGTGGTGTTGGCTCTCATATGGAAATGCGCTCTCTCGGCTTCTCGCCCGGAAACGGCGTCGTTCAAGCATTCGGTTTTGTTCCAAGCGGTGAACCTCCGTCCCCGGATGGAGCCGGCGGTGGCGGACGGAGCCTTGGGGAACTTTGTATGGCCATTCGCGGTGACGGTGGAGGAGGAGGAGCAGTTGGAGTTGCAGTTGATGGTGAAGAGGATGAGGGAGAGTATGAAGGAGTTTGTGGAAAGTAAGGCAAAGAGGTTGAAAGAGGATGGTGGTTTTGGAGTGTTTATGGAGAGTCTGAAGGAGAGAGGTGAAGTTTTGAAGCAGAACAGCGTTGTTTATAAGTGTTCGAGTTGGTGCAAGTTTCCACTGGCTGAGGTTGATTTTGGTTGGGGCGAAGCAGTGTGGGCATGCAGTGTGAATAAGATTGCTAGTAACACCATTGCTTTGATGGATACAAGGGACGGTGGTGTTGAAGCTTTCGTCACTCTCGATCACCAACACATGCTTCTCTTTCAACAACATCACCTTCTTCTACACTACGCTTTGCTTAATCCCTCTGTTATGCTCTGACCTTCTCCATCCATATGTAATATTCTATTTCTCGCTTCAAAATCACAACCTTACATTACCTACAACTTTCGATACTGCATGGCTTTTTGTTTTCAACTAAACCATGAAGATATTTTGTCCCCAAGGATAAGCAACCACTAAAATATTCTCTATTACCGTAAGTTTCACTGCATATTATTAAAATGATTTAGGTAGGAAAACAAAATTTTTCTCACAAGGAAAAAAAATCACTGGATCATGAATTCGTCTCTAGTCTTGTGTGACGTGATGGTCAAAAGGTGGTGTAATTAAGGATGACAACCCACAAAATCATGTGGTTTTCATTTATTTATTTTTAACTTAACGTGGGTTTTATGTTTTTTTATAAAATTCAATTTAATTATGAAACTTTAATTATATTACGGGAAAATTAATTTATATATAATAGTTGGGCTAAAGTGCTTGCAAATTTATACGCATTATCATAGTCATTTTCACAAGAAAAAAACACGTGCATTTATAAGAGAAACAACAACGGTTATTTTTGTCTATAGTCATCAGTTTCTGAACCAAGACATATACGGGTGAGGTAAAAAGGGGTACGATTTTGCTTCGATTCAAACGTAACCGAAGTAGTAGGGTTTTTGCTTTTTTTTTTTTTTGAATGACCTTTCGCCTCAGTTCCCCTGAACCGAGGCAGTATCTCAGACTCCACTGTCTTGGTTGGGACTTGAACCGAGGCAGTAGAGTGTTTTTTTTTGCTTTTTCGCTAGTCTTTCTGCCTCGGTTGTGACCTTCACCGATGCCATATGGGGGCTTTCTGCCTCGATTATAGTCACAACTGAGGCGTATTCCCCTGTTTTTCTTAAGAATAGATTTGTTTCTGCAACATTCCCAACTACAGAAATAGACCTGTATATATTTAACAACCAGAACAGTCCAGAACAATATAGAACAATCCAGAAGCATATATTTTCAATAAAACTTATATTAAAACATAAATCCATTCAATGTTATCATAAATCTCCTCTCTAATCATTTGTTCAAAAAATCTAGAGATAATAAATAATTTTTGTATTGAATCTCAAACGGGAAACTAAGACTAACTCACAACAACAATATATTCAAGCAAACAAATAACTACATATGCAACATACAATATATTCAACCAAACAATATATTGAAGCAAACAATATATTCAAACAAACAAATAATTACATGTTCATATTAAAAGGAAAAAAATTAAGAATAGGAACTTGGGAGTGTGAAAGCCGGTCAACAATGAAGAATGTCCCTCACCACAAAAATACAATATCTAGACAAAAACAAACAACACATTAATTAGTCTTATGATTCCTAACCTCCTTAAAGTTTATTTTGTCACCATATCAACCAATGCAATACAAACAATTCAAAATATTATTCTCTAATTTTCATATCTTTAATTAAAAAATATAAACCAAAAGTATATTCCCCTAATTCCATATCCCTAATTTCTAT